TAGATGAACGCCAACAACGTAATAAAATCGAAACTCAATCCATAGAAGAGGAAGAAGATACTATAAAGGATATGGCTTTTAAAGGGGAACGCATTTTAGAAATAGACGAGTTTTTTGATCAATTGGAAGCCGAATTTAATAAAGTTGATGATAAAGAGATTTGGAAAGGTGTTATAGACAAGTTTGTATTATTTTTTTTTAAAAAAAAAAATTTCATTCAATTTTTTTTTACATTATGACTGACTTCACTTAATTAGTATTTGGGCGTTTGGAACCAAACGTGTTGGACCGAACTTATTAGTAAATCATGTACCAAATTATGAACGGAAATCGTATCCTTTAATTTAATTTTCCTTCTTATTAACATAATAGATATATATTTTATTAGTTCTTAACCATATATTTCGATAGATGGAGGAAAATTTGCAGTGCATTGAAAGTTTTTGAAACGGTCCATCCAGAAGTAAATGAAGAAGATTTTCTTCATGAAGAACGTACTTCATATAATTTATCGATCCGTGATTTTGTTGAAGGAATTCATACAGGGTTTCAACTTGCCACAAAATCAGGCCCACTTTGTGCTGAACCGTTAATGGGAGTGTCCTATTTTTTAGAAGATTTCACGATAAATATAGATAGCAATAATTTGGATATATCTGAAAGTTTGTAATGAACAGTCTTGACTTTGGTCATTGTTAAAAAAAAATTTATAATTCATATGTATTTTACTTTCTGTCAGTACGAAATAAATTAGGTGGACAAGTTATTACTACAATGAGAGACGCATGTAATAAGGGTTTTTTAGAATGGTCTCCAAGACTAATGTTGGCTATGTACTCCTGTGATATTCAAGCAACTGGTAAGTATAAATAACTTTTAACATATGTATTTGAATTCATTTATCTATATTTTACTGATGATAAAAAAAAAAAAAAAAATTAGCCGACACTTTAGGTCGTGTATATGGTGTAATATCAAAACGTCGAGGGCGTATTATTTCCGAAGAATTAAAAGAAGGAACTCCATTTTTCCATATTTTTGCATCACTACCTGTAATAGAGAGTTTCGGATTTGCTGACGGTATGTGATCGTTATTTTCTTTTTTTTCTAGTTTAATATGTATATTGATATCTATTAAAACAGAAATAAGGAAGCGGACTTCTGGCACGGCTAGCCCACAACTAATCTTTAGCGGGTAATTAATTTACATTTGGTTTAATCATTCCTTGTGATTATCAATCTAAATATTTTATGTGATTCTAGATTTGAGATGTTGGATGAGGATCCGTTTTGGGTCCCAACGACTGAAGAAGAGCTTGAAGACTTAGGAGAAAAGTCTGATAGAGAAAATCTTGCAAAGAAATATATGGAAGATGTAAGAAAACGCAAGGTAAAAAACAATTAATGACTCAAATGGAGCACATAATGAATTTTATAATAAATTAATATAAATCTTCATTTATTTCTACTAGGGAATGTTTATAGATAGGAAAATAATTGAGCATGCAGAAAAACAGCGAACATTAAAAAAGAAGTAAAAGGAATTAATTAATAATCCATGGAAAATCTTAACGATTCATATTTTTTACAACCATAATTTTATTACTAACTGGGATATTTATTTAATTATTAAAGATCGAATTATGTAGAAATTGTGGTTATGATTGTAATGTTTATGATAGATTATTTGTACTCTTAAATTTATGATAAAAAAAAAAATTATGAATTGTGGTATTATAGTATCTTAGCAATTCACTGTTTTTCCTACTAAATACATGCTATATCAAGTTTACTCGATGAAAATTTATTATGCAAAAATGTATTCTTCCTCTGGGAATTAAAATTGATTAGTATATTTCACGTGATTAAAGTTTACCCAATTTGATGACTTAAGCAAGACCTAAAAATGTCAAAATATGACAGATCTTTTAATGAAACAGATATCACATTATGAATCATATGATTTACTATTTTGATTAAAAGCTAGACAAAGAACCTCAAAATCTTAAAAAGTTAATGTTATCTTTTCTGATTAATCATCGAACATGAATGCGTAGAAATGGGATCTAGTTTCTCGGATTCAACCAAGTTTAGTGAACAGGTTCCTTTCTTACAATGCTGTCTCATCAT